TTTAAGATGACAAAAGGCTCAGGTTGGGGAATCTCCCTCACATCCTCAGCTGTGAAGAATGATGCAAAGAATTCATTTAGTTTCTCCGCAATGGCTGTATCTCCCTTGAGTGCTCCTTTAGCATCTTGATCACCTAGTGGCCCCACTGGTTGTTTAAAAGGCTTCCTGCTTCTGATGTACTTAAACAAAAGGGTTGCTGTTATTTTTTGAGTCTTTGGCTAGCTACTCTTCAAATTCTGTTTTGGCCTCCCTAATTATATTTTTACACTTCACTTGGCAGTTTATGCTCCTTTCTATTTTCCTCACTAGGATTTAAGTTCTACTTTTTGCAGAGTGCCTTTTTTCCTCTAACTGCTTCTTTTATTTTGTTGTTTATCCACAGTGGCACCTTTGGGTAGAGAAGGGAGATGAGGAAGGTGAGGTAATATCTTTTATTAGACCAACTTTTGAGCCAAGCTTGTCTCTCTCACCAATAGAAGCTGGTCCAATAAAAGATGTTACTTCACCCACCTTGTCACTCTAATATCCTGGAACCGACGTGGCTACAACTACACTGGGTAGATAAGGCATTTTTTAAATGACAGAATTCTATCAGTCAATGTGGGAATGGCTTTATCAGAAATCTACAAGCTTACAAATGGAATTCCGCAAGCGAGTATTATCAGCCCTACTTTGTTTTCCATTATGATAAATGACCTCCCAGAAAGCGTTCAGACAGAAATAGACATTTCCCTTTTTACAGACAAGTAGGCTATATAGACTAAGGAGAAATGACAAAGTAGCCATAGAAAACAACAAATGAGGCACTCCAGAGAATTTCCAAGTGGGGAAATGATTGGGTATTTAAATTCTCACTTGCTAAACTAAGGGAAGGAAGGAAGAAGGAAAATTAGGGACGACTGGAACTTATTTCTTCATGATGAAAAAATTCAGATAGTTCCAAAGTTTGTTACTAGGAGTAGTGTTTGATAATAAATTAGCTTGGAAAGGTTACACACAATATCATACAAAAGCATAAAAGCAGGGTAAACTTACTTAAAAGTGTAGCTGAAAACAAATGAGGTGCAGATACGAAGGTATTGACGATAACGTATAGAGCACTGAGAAGATCAGCGTTAGACTATGGAGGCCAAGTTTTTTATCCAGCCTCAACAACAACTCTTAGAAACCTGGAACTGCTCCAGCCCCAAGCTCTGCAATTGGCATTAGTGCAATAACAGCACCAGCAGTGTGTGTGCTGTGAGTAGCCACTGGAGAAGCACCGATAAATCTAAGGATGAAACTATGAGATCTAACCTTTTGGGCAAACGTAAAAGGGAATCATGAAAACAGAAGTAAACAAGAGACTTATGAGGATTGCCGGGAGCTTAGTAGACAAAACTATATGGATTGCCACAGACTTCCTCATACTAGCAGGGTCAAAAAAATGTGTAAAGGATATGTAGAAAAGAAAACTTGAGAACACTAAAAGTTACAGATGGACAGTTATTCCCCCATTTGTGGATTTGGAATTGTATGAAAAAGCTGAGGGAAGGATAAAACCGCACATTATGACTAAAGAAATATCTGAATTTATTGATGACAAATGGGGCCAGCTTTGTCAAGTCTACAAAGATAGATCAAAAGCTGGCAGCAAGGGAGAGTGGGAACAGCCGCCTGTGTTCCTAGTCTTAGAATGCAGAAATCTAAAAGGCTATCGAATTGGGTGACCATTCTGATAGCTGAACTAATGGGGCTAACGTCAGTACTAACCTGGGTAAGAGATGCGTGACCGGCCAGAGCAGTAATTTGATCGATATACTTGTGAGGCATTACTGCAATCAGAATAGGGACTCTGGAAAGCAGAAATGACATAAGTGAAATAATGTGACTACTTACAGAAATAATGCAAGCAGGTATCTGTGTAACAGTAAGATGGAGTCTGGTGCATATCAGAACACCTGGACGTGAGATGGCTGACAAAGCAGCAAAAGAAGCGCTAATAAATGAGGTGGATATTGCGCTATCCTTATGTGGACAAGAATTTAAAAGTGTGGCCACTTGCAAAGTGGAGCTTGCAAAGGAATGGCAAGAACTACACACCAAGGGAACAAAAGGATGACGGTTTTATGATATATGCTCCAAAATTGAAGATAATATAGACTCTCCAGTAATGACAGAAAAAGTGAGGTAGTCATTCTTAGAGCGTTAACAGGTCATTGTGCCTTACATGAGATGTAAAACTTATTAAAAAGACAAAGATGGGCAGTGTAATGTGTGCAAAACCAAAGAAACAGTTGCTCATGTTCTCTGGCATTGTGGGTAATATTCTATGGTAAGAAAGTTTCTTTATGAAGAATTGAGCCAGCCTGGTGTTACTAGAAAGGGTTAAACATCCTGCAAAATAAATAACCATCAAAAGACATGTGGGGAGAGAATGTTTGTGTTTTTGTGTATTTACATACGTATGAGTAGGGTGGACAATGTAACCAACAGTCCCTGCCCATGCTGTATTCTGATAATTCAGGAGGTCAAAAGGACATCCTAGCATTTAAATGAATTGTAAACACAGGATCTCTCGGTATTCATCTCTGTTTGAAATGTAGAGCAAATAATCTGTGAATGGTGGAGGAACAAGCAAATTGCCTTATGTTAATTCTTTAGCTAAGTACCAGTGATGGACCTCCTCCAAAGTCATCCTAATTACATTTTGAACTCCAACTTGTCAAAAAGGACATGAAATTGGATAAAAGATCGTTGGGTCCTGATTCTGTCATCTCAGATCTGCCTGAGGCTTCAAGGGAAGTTTGAGTCACAAGACTGAGGTCCCAGTTATGCTGGTCTGCCCTAAATATGAGATTTGGCCATTGAACTATAATCTATGAACTGAATTCTAAAGAAACTCTCTGCAACTACAAAGCTCACCATCTCTGCTATGAATCTGAACCTCAATGGATTGAACTCATGTCTGTATGTATACTGAGCTTTTAACCATACTCTCTCTTTCGTTTTTTAATAAATTTTAGTTTTCTTAATAAGAATTGGCTGTAGCGTGTATTTGGGCAAGACCTAAAACATTCATTAACCTGGGAGGTGATGTGTCCGATCCTTTGGGATTGGCAGAACTTCTTTTATATGATGAAATAAGATTTACAGAAATTTTCATCGTAAGAACGGCCATACCGGGTCAGACCAAAGGTCCATCCAGCCCAGTATCCTGTCTGCCGACAGTGGCCAATGCCACGTTCACTCCCTCTGGGGCACCTAACAGGTAATCAAGTGATCCCTCTCCAGCCATCCATTTCCACCCTCTGACAGAGGCTAGGGACACCATTCCTTACCCATCCTGGCTAATAGCCATTAATGGACTTAACCTCCATGAATTTATCTAGTTCTCTTTTAAATCCTGTTATAGTCCTAGCCTTCACAACCTCTTCAGGCAAGGAGTTCCACAAGTTTACTGTGCGCTGTGTGAAGAAGAATTTCCTTTTATTTGTTTTAAACCTGCTGCCCATTCATTTCATTTGGTGATCCCTAGTTCTTATATTATGGGAACAAGTAAATAACTTTCCCTTATTCACTTTCTCCACACCACTCATGATTTTATATACCTCTATCATACCCCCCCCCTTAGTGTCCTCTTTTCCAAGCTGAAAAGTCCTAGCCTCTTTAATCTCTCCTCGTATGGGACCCGTTCCAAACCCCTAATCATTTTAGTTGCCCTTCTCTGAACCTTTTCTAATGCCAGTATATATCTTTTTTGAGATGAGACCACCACATCTGTATGCAGTATTCAAGACGTGGGCGTACCATGGATTTATATAAGGGCAATAAGATATTCTCCATCATATTTGATGTGGGTACCTGGATGGAGGCCTGAGGCTGGATCACTTTAAGGGAACTGTGTTGTTGGGACTTCTGCGTAACCAGTAAGGTCATAAAGAAGCTGTTTTATGCTGGCTGGGTATTGGAATAGCCACTAGCTTTATGGGGACTGTCTGCCCCATTCTTTGCAGTTCACCCGAATTGAGTGACCACAGCTGGTTCCCCACTCGGACCCCAGTCACACTTGGGCTCAAAGATTTTCCCCTAACGGGACTAGTAAGAAAGTCAGGAAAATGGAGTAGTACAAAGGAGACTTGACTGAGTGAAAGGATATTTTAAAAAAGGGTTAAAAAGGAACGAGGGAAGTGGCAGTGATAACGGCCCTGGACGAGGTGGCTGTGCCAACAACCAGACACAGAAGCGGGCTGCAGGGAGGGAGTTTGCAGTCACTCTTGGAGGGTCTCTCCTCTGAAAATCCTGCTGAAGAGGTGTCTAGCTCCTGGAAATGCTCTGAAGCTAGCATGGGATTGCAATACTGAGGAGGCAATGTTAAAACAGGGGTAAGGAGCCTTTTGCCTTGGGGATCACTGTGGGAGTGAGGTAGGGAGACCCCACAATAAATCAGAGAACTGCACAAGTGTGTGGGTGCCCAGAGATTTTCTGAGGGGTCAGCTACTGGCCACTCCCCAAGGTAGGACACCGTCCAAAGGTCCAACCTGGTTCAATACATCCTCTGGGCTTGTACACCGGGCCCTGCTGATTTGCCAGGCCTGTCTCAAGCTGGAGGATTATGAATTCTTGGAGTTAGGGACCAAATCCTCCCCTCATGCGCCCTGCACTAGACCTGGACAGACAGATTTGGGGCAGGGAGAAAGTCCCTGCTCAGGCCATAAAACTACAGGGAAGCCCCTCTGCAGACTATTATAACCCTGAAGCTGCAGGTGCTCCTGCTGCTGTGGTCTCTCCCACCACCACCAAGTGCAATGGCCAAGCTGAACACACCATTGAAGAGTGCAGTTAGACCAAACACACACACACACACAGACACACACACACACACACACCCTTGCAGCACCCTCAGCCTGACATGTGGCTTTGCTCACTTGACTCACAGGGAACATTACAATATTTCTTAGACTCTGACGCCTGGAAATTGCAACCACAGGTAAAACAAAGCACTTTGTACAATGACGGCATGAGATCGACGTTTTATAGTAACTCTTGCAATTTTGCAATGCCCTGCATTGGTGGGGTTTAAGGCACTTTGCAAACATTCATTAAATCTCACAACCAGGAAATAGAAGTGAAATTCCTTGTCTAGAGTCCGAGTGAACCATCTAGGGCCAGCTCTTGGGAGCTGAGGATGCTGGGAAATGGGGGAAGAGAACCCCATAGTCCAGATCCCCACACCTGGACCAGAGTGCCGTGAGACATGTTAAGTAATCATATTCCACCCAGGGTTAAACTGAAGGCAAGATTCCTTTCACCCTGTAGACTAGCACTTCAATGAGTTGGCCTAAAACATGGTTTTAATATGTCCATCCTAACTGTGCAATTACTTCATACTCAAATGTCTGGGGGCCTCCAACCATTACAGCTCCCCCTCCCCCTCTCCTGCAGCAGTTGCTGATCATTAATAACAGGACTAAAAAGGTAAAAGAAAGACGCAGAGTCAGTGCATTGGCAAGGAATCCATGCTTCACCTTGAGAAGTTTACAAGGAGACTCTGCTCATCTTGTCGTCTGTATTCAGACGGCAAAGCCATTAAGGCTCATGACCTTTCACTGCCCTTTGCAAACTTGAAATTCCAGGCAGCGTTTTGGTCCCTTAAAAAAAGGGAATTATGAGAGAAAATGCCTGAGGAGAAAGCACACCAGCCCACCAATTCCAGCAACTGCTGTGACCGCCACTAAGCGCACCAAGAGGAAATCCAGAGAGTCCTCCAGCTGAGAGTGCAGTCTCAGGACCTCCCTCCGCGTGCTCTCCCAGTCCCCGGAGTTGTCAATCACGTGGTCAGCTAATTTGCACTTCTCATCAAGCGGCAGCTGGGAGGCGATGCGCGCTTCTGCCTCTGCCTGGGCCAAGCCATTCCTCTTCATCAGTCGTGACAGCTGTGTCTGCGGATCACTGCCGGGATGGGAATGAGAGACTCAGCATCAGAGACGTCTGGAAAGGAGTGAGGTCCCTAATGCCTCCACACTGCAATTACAGGACACCGAGCATGGTGCGTGCTCCAGAGAACAGGATCCCCTCAGCCCTATCCCAGCCAACACACCTGGTGGGGAGTGATCCCGTCCCACTCTCCAATCAGACCACTTCAGCTCAGCACACGTTAAACATCTTTCATACGGAACCTGCAAAACCAGCAGGATCCAAGGAACTGACCAGGTTTTTCTTAAAGGCCAGCTGAGCCAGCTCTTGTTGCATGGTGGGGTCACCACCGCTAGAGGGGGAGATTATACAGCACCGCCCCCAACACAAGGGGCAACAGACAACATGGCATCAGCGCCACCCCCAGCTAGCTTGGGGGGAGTGCATCGGATCCCCTAGCCCAGATGACAGAGGTTTCTAGAGTCCCACAGAAAGTGATTTTTGTCCATTATTAATTAGCACTATTATTTAGTATGTGTGTGCTACACCCCACAGCCTACTAGCACCAAGGCCCTACTGGAGATCAAGGCCCCATTGTGCTGGGGGCTGCAAAGACACCTAGCAAGACAGTCCCTGCCCTGAACAGCTCAGTCTGATTAGGCAAGACAAACAAAAAGTAAGAGGAAATGGAGACAGAGACTCAAGGATTTCCTCCCAACAGACTATGGTCACACTCCCTGTTAGTATCCCTTTAATTCTGAACGCTGGCTCTGTATCTCGTCAGTCAGTATCCACGAGGACTGATTTGCTGAGTTAACATATTCCTGCTATTTGCAGTTAACTAAAAGGCTGCATTAACAAGGGCTGCCAAAATGACACTTGTTCTCCAGTTTCCTTGGCCCCCTGTGGCACTTACCTGTAAACCAGGACTGTGTGTTTCATGAACTTGGTTAGTGTGTTGGTCTCAAACAGCAGCGGAATGTCCAGAATCACATAGCGGTAGCCTGGATGAACGAACCAAGCCCCCCGCCAAAAACAATATGTATATAAAATGGAAATACTACTACTTATAAGGTTTTCTTACCAAACCCCTTACCACACACTCTCTCTCCCCTGCCATTAAAAATATGGGCAGAGAATTGTCTAGCTGCACAGTTACACTTTCCCCAAGGTGGCAGCTGCAGCACTTCAGCTCTTTTTGAGGAAGAGGAAAGCGAAAGTGTTTTTGTTCAAACTTTCCAAAAAGTTTCCAAGCCTGAAGGTGAAAGCTTCAGAAAGTTGAGTGGCTGGAAACAGGAGGTTAGAATGGAAAACCTAATGCACCTTCTGACTAGAGCAGGCACTGCCACTTTGCTACATTATTAGAAGTGGAGCTGGCCGTGTTGTGTTGCCCAACACTTCCCAAATGGGCTGGAATTTCCCATGCTGGGTGTCTGCCTCCAGTTTTTTGGAAAGTTTTAGCAAAAATGGTTCAGCTGTTTCGAAGAATAAAGGTCAGGGGATATTTTTAAAAAACATTCACAGCTGTTTTGCTGAGAAGCTGCAGTGCTGCCATGCTTTGGCACAGGGACTGAAGATTGGGTAAGGTCACCCTGGGGTCAGGGATGTGCCCTTTCCTGTCCTCATGAAAATCTGCCATTTTCAGACTTGCAGCCTGACCAATTTGGGCAGTTTGCACATGCTCAGTGGAGCTTTACTAAACACCCCTATTCTCCCAACGTTCGGTCTGCACTGAAATTGCAGTATCTTGGCTACTGCAGGTGCAAGGTTATGGATGAGAACTCAGAGCAGGGAGACTGGACATGTCTACACAGCAGCTTCCTAGCATGGGCACACAGCTGTGCTAGCTCTACTCCAGCTGGCAGCATGGCCATGGCAGCCCAGGCTAGCCAGAGTGCAATCCCACCCGACCGCCATGGTCGCACTGCTGTTTTTAGTGCACTACCTTCAGCGTAGTTAGCACAACTGTCCACCTACGCAGGGAAAAGCT